TTAGACCCCCACGTCACTCCGTGGGCTATTAGCCCGTGTGGGCGGCTGAGTTAATCCCACCCGCGGTTCTTGGCCGCGTTCTACGCTGGCCCATGGAGGGCCCGGGCGATCGGCTGAAGGCCCCGCCCCCTCCGCCCCCCGCCCGCAGTGGCTGGCCATGGCCACGGTTTTTGTGCCACCTTTTTGGGTTCGAGGGGCACCCCCGCGCTGAGCGTAGAATCCCGCGGCGCCCCGTGGGCTCTCTGCCCGTGAGGTCGGCTGAAATAACCCCGCCCACGGGTCTCTGGCCGCGCTGATTGCAGGCCCGTGGAGCCTGAGGTGGCTGGCTGAAGGCCACCCCCCTCTCACGCTTCACCCTTTGAGGTCCGACGGCGTGCCCGCGTGGCTTCCCATCTCCGGCCCTTCCCCGGGTGGCACCTGGCGCGTGTTGGGTCCTCGTGTTGGGTTCGCTCGGGCCCTTCGCTTTATTCAAAAGCTAGCGGCTATCGGCTGCCCTCCTCCCCCCTCCTTGCGCTATGGGTACGATGGTGGCGTCCCATCGGCTTGTGGCGCTCGCAGGACTCGCAAGTCTCCAGGCTGCTCATTGGCCGGCCACAGTTGAAGGAGCTGGGCCAGTCCACGTGCGTCCTCCTGGGAGTGAGGTGCACTTTCACCGCGTCCGCCCATGGTATCCGTGGGCTCCGCTCGTAGGGTTCGGCTACAATGACCCTCCCCACTGCTCTGGGCTTCCATGCTTACAGGCCAGCTCGCTCGCGTGGTAAGGCTACGGGCTGCAGCGCTACCCAGCACGAGGGCGCCGGCAAGCGACAGTCGCCCTTCTCCGTGCCTGGGGCACGGCTGACGCCTGTCGGCGTGGTCAGTGAGTCACAGTGAGCTTGTCGCCCCGAAGTTTGGATGCACCGGGTCATCTCCTGGAGCGAGGATATATAGCAGCGGGCCACGGCGCGCCATTTTGGCACAGGCTGTGGTAGCAGGGTTGGGACCTGAGCAAGGCGCGCTCGTCAGTCAGTGTACCTAATGGTTGTTCTACCGTGCGTGTCCGTTGTCCGCCCCTGGCACCTTCCATCTCTTGTCGACGGAGTTCTTCAGTTGCGCTCTTGTGGTAATCGATGAGCACCGGGTGCTCCGTGAGTGAGGGTTCCGTCTGCCTGTCTCGTCGCCTCTCGCTCCGTTCGCACTGCCTGTAGGTGGTTCCTCTGCTGCCTACAGCTGCTTTGGCCGTCGCGGCTGCACGGGTACAGGGTCCGTGCGTGCTGTGCTTGGCAAGTGGTCGCTGCTTGCGGGCGCCGTTTGGGCGGCTCCTCGCTTGCTCGCGCTTCCGTCCGCCGCTCCCGCCGCCTTCGGCTGGTCTGGCCTCGGCTACTGCACCGGTGCAGGCTATGCGCGCCTCGCGGCCGGCTGCTTGTGTCTGTTTCTTCGCGAGTTGGCGCCGACAGGGCGACTCCTCGCTGGCTTGCATGCGCACTCCGCGCGTCCTGGCGCTAATTATCTTGCGCTGTGCCCCGGCCTCGGTACTCGCGCCCTCTGGACTTTTCCTTGCGGGCCGCTTATCAAAAAAGTAGCTCCACCAGTTGGTCGCTGCTTGCGGGCGCCGTTTGGGTGGCTCCTCGCTTGCTCGCGCTTCCGTTCGCCCGCCGCTCCCGCCGCCTTGGGCTGGTTTGGCCTCTGCTGCTGCGCAGGTGCAGGCTGCGCGTGCCTCGCGGCTGGCTGCTCGTGTCTGTTTCTTCGCGAGTTGGCGCCGTCAGGGCGACTCCTCGCTGGCTTGCGCTTGCCGTGGCCTTGATTGGTCTTTGCATGTGCGCTCCGCGCGTCCTGGCGCTAATTATCTTGCGCTGTGCCGCAGCCTCGGTACTCGCGCCCTCTGGACTTTTCCTTGCGGGCCGCTTACCAAAAAAATAACTCCACCAGTTTTCCTGTGTGCCCGCGTTTTCTCTTTCGTCCCTCGTTCTTCTTCTTCTTCTTCTTTCGCCTTCTTCCTCTGTTGTCCTCGTTTGCTCCTGCCTCCGCGTTGCCGCTGTGCATCGCTTGTCCTTTTTCCCGCGTGTCGCCGGCGACAGATGCGTCGTGCCTGACCGCCTGACCCTCACTTTACGCCCTGTTTTGACAGCGCGCAGCTGCCTGCGTTGCTCGCGAGCAAAAAGTACCTCCACCAGTTATTAGTAAGTAGGCTCCGCCCGTAGCCCGGGTCGACCTTTGACGCCGCCTGCGCCGTCGCTTGCGGCCGCGACCAAAAAAGTAACTCCACCAGCCCATCCAGAAACGATGCCCAGAGGAATTGCCTCGACCAGGGATGTGGGCAGCGCGCAGAGGGGGGGGTCCCCCAGTGGAGGCCTCTTGGAGCGTTTTGGGGGCTTATCGGCGGTCCTGGACGCCTCTTAGAGCGTCTGGGGTGCCTCGGAGAGCTTCTTGGGGCCTCTTGGGGGTCTCTTGGGAGCCTCTTGGGGGCCTCTTGGGCGCCTGTTGGGGCCTCCTGGTGCCTCCTGGGCGCGCATCTTGGGGCCCTCTGGGGACGCTCTTGGGGGCCTTGGGAGCGCTCCTAAAGCCCCCTTGGGCCATCTTGGGGCCATCGTGAAGCCTCGGATGGCCATCGGAAGCGAAAGGGCGAGAAAGCCCAAACCATTAATAGTCCGAAGGTTTTGGAATGATTTTGGCCTCTTTGGGGCCTCCTGGGGGAGCTCTTTGGTCACTTGGGAGCCGTCTTGGACCGGTCTTGGGGCCTCTTGGAGCATCGTGGGAGCCATCTCAAGGCATTTCGGGATATCTTGAGCCATCTTGAAGGTCATTTTGGGCTCCCCCAGGCGCTCTTGGAGTCATCTGAAGCAGTGCCCCCCCCCAGGAGGCCAACATGTGGCCCAAACCTGCGTTAAATCAGTGATTTTGGCATTGCCGCCGAGGCCTCTCGGAGCGTCTTGGGTGCCTCTGGGGGCCTCTTGGGGTCTCTTGGGGGTCTCTTGGGGGCCTCTTGGGGGCATCCTGGGGGCCTCTTGGGGGCCTCTTGGGGCCTCCTGGCCACCTCTTGGGACCCTATTGGGGCACCCTTGGGAGCGCTCGTGGGGCCATCTCGGAGGAGATCGATAAAAGAAAGGGGGGATTTCAAGTTGCGTCGCCCCCCAAACTGGCTAAAATGGGGCCAAAACCATAGTAAAACCAATGATGTTGGCTTCCTCGCCGAGGCCGTTTTGGACGCCCCAACGACCCGCGAAACGCCCCGTCCAGGTCCAAAGGAGGGGGTCGGGGGAGGGGTCAAGATTCCGTCCCCGCCCGCAAGCCGTCTCGCTCACTCCCACCCGCCCTCCCAACACATACGCAACACCCGAGCCTGGCCCGAGCCGCATGGGCAGCTACTGGGGGCGAATCCGCCGCCGCCGCCTCCGCCGCCTCCGCCGCCGCCGCCGCCCGCCGCCGCCGCCGCCGCGCCGCCGCCGCCGCCGCCGCTGTCCGCGCCGCCGCCACCCGCCCGCCGCCGCCGCCGCCGCCGCCGCCCCCGCTGCCCAATCGTCGCCGCCGCAGCCGCTGCCGCCGCAGCTGCTGCCGCCACCGCTGCCGCCGCCGCCGCCGCCACCGCCGCCGCGCCGCCGCCGCCGCTGTCCGCCGCCGCCGCCGCCGCCGCCGCAGCAGCCACCGCCGCCGCCAAGTGTACTCTGTATTTTTTTGGACAGGGATGGTGGGGGGAGGCTGCATCGGGTTCGCTGCGCATGCGCCGAATTTGTAGGCAGAGTGTGTGTTTGTATTGTTTTTTTCAAGGGATGGTTGGGGGGCCCTCATTGACTCGGGTTGGCTACCGGTCGCTTGGGGGAGGGGGTGTATATTAATAGGGACCAGTGATCAAGACTCCTTCCCCGCCCGCAAGCCGCTTCGCTCACTCCCACCCGCCCTCCCAACATATACGTAGCACCCGACCGAGCCTGGCCCGAGCCGGAGCATATTCAGCAGTCGTCTTTCGATGGGCAGCTACTCGGGGCGAATCCGCCGCCGCCGCCTCCGCCGCCGCCGCCGCTTGCCGGCGCCGCCGCGCCGCTGCCGCCGTCGCCGCCGCTGTCCGCCGCCGCCGCCGCCGCCGCCGCCCCGCGCCCGAATCGCCGCCGCCGCAGCCGCTTCCGCCGCATGCCGCCAACGCTGCCGCCGCCCCCGCCGCCGCCGCCATCGCCGCCGCCGCCGCCGCCGCCGCCCCCGCCGCCACAGTCGCCGCCACCGCCGCCGCCGCCGCCGCAGCCGCCGCAGCCGCTGCCCCCGCCGCAGCCGCCGCAGCCGCCGCCGCCGCCAAGTGTTCTCTGTATTGTTTTCTGACAGGGATGGGGGAGGCCGCATCGGGTTCGCTGCGCATGCTCCGAATTTGGAAGCAAAGTGTTTTGTATGGTTTTTTGCACAAGGGATGGTGGGGGGGGGCCGCATGGTCTCGGGTTGGCTCCTAGTCGCTTGGGGGAGGGGGTGTATATTAATATGGAACAGTGATAAACCTTCCCCCGAAGAGGAAGAAGGGGGTGAAAGAGGGAACGCCCTGAACCACCTACGCCCAGAGGGCTGGTGGGATTCACGGTTTGGGGTCCCTGGGGGGAGTATGGGGGGAACAATCTCACACGTTTCGAGACCCACAAAGGGTCGGCGGATCCATGGTGCGTGGTTATGATTCCGTCATTCGTTGTTGATGATTCTGCGAAATTCCTTGATTGTCAGCGGTTTTAGAATCGATTCACAGCGGATGCACCCTTACACACCAACGCCACCATCATCGTTGTCACTTTGGTGCAGCGGTTGCCCACGGCGACATCGCCATTCGTATTATCATCGTCATTGACCTCATCTTCCCAGGGTTGCTGGGCCCAGTGTGCCTAGCAACTTCGATGTATGATTTGTGCCATCATCGCCACTCGAATCATCGGTAGCCGTTTTGGCTGAAACCAAGCCTGATCAGGGCATGTGCCATACTGACAGGGTATTTTTTTGATGGGTGCGTAGCCCAGATTCTCCGAAGAGTTTTTTAATTTCCTCTTTGTTCGGCAATGGCGAAAGTGCCCATCCTGGTATATACCGCCTTCGCGGCTGCAGTGGCGGCACTCTGTGGGGGCTTGTCTTTCGTTGTGCCATCCAGCCATGCGCAGTTGCAGGTGCCCTTCCAGTCGCAGTTTGCCAAGGGCCCCTCCCGGCCAACCACCGTGTTCGCGTCCGCGTCGGTGCCAGTAGCCGTCAGCCTCGCCCTCGTCGGCGTCTCCGCAGCGCTGGCGCTCGTGTCCCGCCGGGCCGTGGCCGCGCCTGCGCGTACTCAGTTGCGAGCGGTGGTCAGCTATGAGTCTGGCAAGGCCCGCTTCACGCTCCCGGACGGGGTGGAGGCGCCGAAGAAGTGGAGCGCCGCGACCGAGCTGGGCGTGCAGGCGCCCACTGGTTTCTGGGACCCGGCCGGCTTCTGCGACGGCATCACCGAGCAGGAGTTCAAGCGCCTGCGCTCCTGCGAGATCAAGCACGGTCGTCTGTCCATGATGGCCACCATCGGCTACATCGCCCCCTTCTACGGCACGTTTGAGGGGTACCTGTCCCCCTCCAAAGGCATCAAGTTCGCGGACCTCCCCATGGGAGTGCAGGCGGCCACCAAGATCCCCAGCGGCGGTTTCGTGCAGATCCTGCTGTTCGCGGCGCTGGTCGAGTTCGGGCTCGGGGGCGACAGGGGCATCGAGGAGTGGAAGACGGGGCCCGCCGGCGACTACGGCAAGGGCTTCCTGGGCATGTTCGGACCCGTGTTGGACCCAGAGAAGAAGAAGCGCTCCTTGAACTCTGAGATCGCGAACGGGCGACTGGCCATGGTGGCAATCACCGGCATGGTGCTCCAAGAGGGGGTCGCGGGAGGCACGGGCATCGAGATGTGGGTGCCCCCGGCCGCGGTGGTCAGCTATGAGTCTGGCAAGGCCCGCTTCACGCTCCCTGACGGGGTGGAGGCGCCGAAGAAGTGGAGCGCCGCGGCCGAGCTGGGCGTGCAGGCGCCCACTGGTTTCTGGGACCCGGCCGGCTTCTGCGACGGCATCACCGAGCAGGAGTTCAAGCGCCTGCGCTCCTGCGAGATCAAGCACGGTCGTCTGTCCATGATGGCCACCATCGGCTACATCGCCCCCTTCTACGGCACGTTTGAGGGGTACCTGTCCCCCTCCAAAGGCATCAAGTTCGCGGACCTCCCCATGGGAGTGCAGGCGGCCACCAAGATCCCCAGCGGCGGTTTCGTGCAGATCCTGCTGTTCGCGGCGCTGGTCGAGTTCGGGCTCGGGGGCGACAGGGGCATCGAGGAGTGGAAGACGGGGCCCGCCGGCGACTACGGCAAGGGCTTCCTGGGCATGTTCGGACCCGTGTTGGACCCAGAGAAGAAGAAGCGCTCCTTGAACTCTGAGATCGCGAACGGGCGACTGGCCATGGTGGCAATCACCGGCATGGTGCTCCAAGAGGGGGTCGCGGGAGGCACGGGCATCGAGATGTGGGTGCCCCCGGCCGCGGTGGTCAGCTATGAGTCTGGCAAGGCCCGCTTCACGCTCCCTGACGGGGTGGAGGCGCCGAAGAAGTGGAGCGCCGCGGCCGAGCTGGGCGTGCAGGCGCCCACTGGTTTCTGGGACCCGGCCGGCTTCTGCGACGGCATCACCGAGCAGGAGTTCAAGCGCCTGCGCTCCTGCGAGATCAAGCACGGTCGTCTGTCCATGATGGCCACCATCGGCTACATCGCCCCCTTCTACGGCACGTTTGAGGGGTACCTGTCCCCCTCCAAAGGCATCAAGTTCGCGGACCTCCCCATGGGAGTGCAGGCGGCCACCAAGATCCCCAGCGGCGGTTTCGTGCAGATCCTGCTGTTCGCGGCGCTGATCGAGTTCGGTCTCGGGGGCGACAGGGGCATCGAGGAGTGGAAGACGGGGCCCGCCGGCGACTACGGCAAGGGCTTCCTGGGCATGTTCGGACCCGTGTTGGACCCAGAGAAGAAGAAGCGCTCCTTGAACTCTGAGATCGCGAACGGGCGACTGGCCATGGTGGCAATCACCGGCATGGTGCTCCAAGAGGGGGTCGCGGGAGGCACGGGCATCGAGATGTGGGTGCCCCCGGCCGCGGTGGTCAGCTATGAGTCTGGCAAGGCCCGCTTCACGCTCCCTGACGGGGTGGAGGCGCCGAAGAAGTGGAGCGCCGCGGCCGAGCTGGGCGTGCAGGCGCCCACTGGTTTCTGGGACCCGGCCGGCTTCTGCGACGGCATCACCGAGCAGGAGTTCAAGCGCCTGCGCTCCTGCGAGATCAAGCACGGTCGTCTGTCCATGATGGCCACCATCGGCTACATCGCCCCCTTCTACGGCACGTTTGAGGGGTACCTGTCCCCCTCCAAAGGCATCAAGTTCGCGGACCTCCCCATGGGAGTGCAGGCGGCCACCAAGATCCCCAGCGGCGGTTTCGTGCAGATCCTGCTGTTCGCGGCGCTGATCGAGTTCGGGCTCGGGGGCGACAGGGGCATCGAGGAGTGGAAGACGGGGCCCGCCGGCGACTACGGCAAGGGCTTCCTGGGCATGTTCGGACCCGTGTTGGACCCAGAGAAGAAGAAGCGCTCCTTGAACTCTGAGATCGCGAACGGGCGACTGGCCATGGTGGCAATCACCGGCATGGTGCTCCAAGAGGGGGTCGCGGGAGGCACGGGCATCGAGATGTGGGTGCCCCCGGCCGCGGTGGTCAGCTATGAGTCTGGCAAGGCCCGCTTCACGCTCCCTGACGGGGTGGAGGCGCCGAAGAAGTGGAGCGCCGCGGCCGAGCTGGGCGTGCAGGCGCCCACTGGTTTCTGGGACCCGGCCGGCTTCTGCGACGGCATCACCGAGCAGGAGTTCAAGCGCCTGCGCTCCTGCGAGATCAAGCACGGTCGTCTGTCCATGATGGCCACCATCGGCTACATCGCCCCCTTCTACGGCACGTTTGAGGGGTACCTGTCCCCCTCCAAAGGCATCAAGTTCGCGGACCTCCCCATGGGAGTGCAGGCGGCCACCAAGATCCCCAGCGGCGGTTTCGTGCAGATCCTGCTGTTCGCGGCGCTGGTCGAGTTCGGGCTCGGGGGCGACAGGGGCATCGAGGAGTGGAAGACGGGGCCCGCCGGCGACTACGGCAAGGGCTTCCTGGGCATGTTCGGACCCGTGTTGGACCCAGAGAAGAAGAAGCGCTCCTTGAACTCTGAGATCGCGAACGGGCGACTGGCCATGGTGGCAATCACCGGCATGGTGCTCCAAGAGGGGGTCGCGGGAGGCACGGGCATCGAGATGTGGGTGCCCCCGGCCGCGGTGGTCAGCTAAAAGCCGGGCAAGGCCCGCTTCATGCAACCGCATGTGGGGGGAGGCGATGCAGAAGTTGAGCGCCGCGACCGAGCTGTTTGTGCAAACGCGTTGCTCACTCAAGTGCCAGATTCCAGAACTCGGCCAGCTTGTGCGACGGCATGACCGAGCAGGAGCTCGTATTGCTGCGCCAGACAGCTGAACCCAGCCGTGCCTGAGGGAGCTGAATTGCTGCCGCCGACAGGTGGGCGAGGGCTTTTGGGATCATCGTGGCGTTTATGTATGGAGTGCAGGGAGAGAGAAAGAAAGAGAGAGAGAGAGAGCGACCATGTTGAGGCTGCCTTGAGGCCTTTTGGAGGTCTGTCGGAGGCTACCTTGAACCATGCTCGACCTCCTGGGACCATCTTGGGGATAGGAGAAAGAGGATGAGGATGAGGATGAGGACGATGAGGACGAGGAGGAGGATGAGGATGAGGATGATGATGAGGAGGAGGAGGAGGAACAAGAGAGAAGGAGGAGGAGGGGGAAGGGGAGGAGGAGGAGAAGGAGGGGGAGGAGGAGGAAGAGGAGGAGCAGGAATGCGGCAAGAGGAAGAGGAAGATGTTGATCATGTAGATGCTGATGCTGCTGCAGCTGATGGAGGAGGAGGTGGAGGAGGAGGAGGAGGACGAGGGCGAGGAGGAGGAGAAGCAGGAGGAGGATGAGGAGGAGGATGAGGAGCATGGAGGAGACAGGAAATGATAAGGGAAGGAACGGACGATGACAAGGAGGAGGAGAAGTCGGGCTTTTGAGATATGTTGTAGTGAGAGGTTCTCGAATGACGATCCAGGCTATCTTAGAGGCTCTCTTGTGGTCCCCGTGGGGCCTCTTGGGTCACTCGTTGCTCCCTCTTGGGGCTCACATTGGTGGTGTCGGGGCCCTCTTGGGGCTCATTGGAGGGGTCTGGGAGGTCTCTAAAGTCCTGTGGATCAAAACGATGGGGGTCCTCAATTCAGCCGTCCCCCCCCACCCCCTGGGATACTCAAACAAGGCGTCTTGGGGCCCTCTCGGGCCGCTCTCGGAGCGCTCTTGGGCGCTCTTGGGGCCCTCTTGGGGCCCTCTTAGACCCCTCTTGGGGTTCTCTTGGGCCGTCTTGGGGCCATCTTGACGCTTCAACAGCCCGTCGGAAGCGAAAAAGCGAGAATGCAAGCCACACTGGATTTCGGAAGGTTTTGAAGGATTCTGGCTTCTTGAAGGGTGCCCAGGAAGGCACGAAGGGCACTTGGAACCGTCTTGGGGCTGTCTTGGGGCCTCTTGGAGGTGTGTATCTTGAATCATGCTCGGCTATCTTGGGCCATCTGGGAGGCGGTCAATTTGGGCTCTCTGAGGCCCTCTTGGACCGAGTCGGCGGTGTCTGCTACAGGGGGGGGGAAGGTTTCTGTCCTGATTTTGACCTGCGGTCGTCCCGCAGGTCGTTCCGCAAGGTCAGTCAAATCGTCCTGCAAGTCGTTCCGTTTTTGTCCCGATTTCGTTCTGCAGCCTCAAACGCGGATTTGCCAAATCGTTGTGTTTTCGTTCCGCGGCCATACCACAGATCGTATCGCATAACGAGCAAAACAAACCATTCCATCGCACGCAAGAGCACGTCGCAACAAACAGCGAATGAGGAGGTACGGAGGGGGGTGGAGGAGGAGGACACAGGGCCAGGATCGTCAGACTCGATCTCGCGCTTGGTTTTTGCTTTTGACATCCTCGCAAATTCTTCAGTGATGCTCATGACCCGTGGCCTCTGCGTGACCCTCTCGTGGCCCTCGCGTGGCCCCTTCATGGCTTTCTCGTGGCCCGTGGCCCTGCGTGGCCCTTGCTCTACTAAGACCCCGTGGGCCCCCGTGCAAAATCATAAGGCAGGGGGTTGAACCAAAGGGAATTGGCCTTCCTGCCAGATCCTCCACCGCCCCCTCCTCCTCCTCCTCCACCGCAGCCATTTTGGCGCGGCCCTTGGCGGAGCCAGTCCCGCCAAGGGGCTCCGTGGCGCGAGGCGGCATGGACGCCCTCGGCGCCGCACTCGGCGCCATCGGCTCGGGCGCCGACGGCGACGGCGCCAGAGTGGCCGACGACGAGCTCGGCGCCGCTCTCGGCGCCATCGGCTCGGGCGCCGACGTGGACGGCGCAGACGGAGATGAGCTGCTCGATGCGCTGGCGCGCGTGGGAGAGGCATGGCCATCGAATGCCTACCCTTAGCGATCCCATTGGCGGGCGGATGCATGAGGCTTTGGCTTGGGCCCGAGCCTCATGCCCCCGCTCGCCGTTGGAAACGCTACGCGCTGGCATTATGTGGCCCCAGAGGGGCTGCCCGAGGGCGATCCAGGCGAGACAAGCGCCAGTGAGCACGGCGACGCCGCCGTCGCCCTCGAGGTGAGCTCCGCGGCGGCAGCCCCTGTCGCCCTCCTGGCGTTGCCCCTGGCCGAGCAGATCGCCCGCCAAGCCGCGGGCATCCAGCAGTCGGCCTGCCAGAACGACATCGGGTCTGCTGGACACGTCGCCTCAGCGCTGCTCGACAGCGATTCACAACACATTACGTCTGGTGCTGCCGCCGCCACGGTTGCAGATGTTGCCAGAGCTGACCTCCGCTCGCTCTCATCTGCAGTTTCGGCGTGCTGCTGGCACCTTGAGCGGAGGAGTTGGCACGGCATCGAGGCATCCGTCGTTGACGGCGTCGGCACCGAGTTGATTGCTTACATAGATTATGGAACGTACGATGGCGTGGATCTGAAGCTCTTGACACGAACATTCAACAGATCTTTCGCCCAGACGGCCCCAGCTCCAGAGTCGGCCTCCTGCGCCGAAGAGCTGGCCATCACCCAGAAGCTGAGGGATGAGATGAGTTTGCGCAGGAGGCCCGATACTTCGTATGGCTTCACCAAGGTTCAGCATGCTTCCAACGCTGTTGCGCTCGTATTTCGTGCTGGTGGTGTGATTCACTTTGTCACTGGCCACCTCAGCACGCTCCTGTTGGCCGTGGACAGGTCGACTGCAGAAACGCTTCTAGAGTGTATCCGTAAGCTTGACCCTGGATCGCCCTCTCGAGAAGCATTCCCACGCAAGATCCGCCTTGCCGATACAGATGGTGCCGCGTACAATGGCAGGACAGAGGGGGGCTTGATGCTTGGTCGCCAAGGGTGGTGGAACGTACATGTGCATTGCGAAGTCCACTTCGCCTCCAACATGCACACCAAATCGATGGCGTTCTCTGCTGTTTCTCGGGGCATCACAGGCATGGCCAATACAACTTTTGCGTTGAACAACTTCCGCATGATGCTCAGGTTCAGGGATTCGGCTAAGACGTGCATCAATAATATGCTGACTATATACGACCACGTGCACTTGGACGACGATGCGAAGAAATATAAAGATCTTGTTCTCGACGTGTTTTACGGAGCCGCCCCAGAGCACAGGGATAAGCGAGCAGCTTTGCTGAGGCTCGCACCAGGTGATTGGCGAGTTCGCGGTGATTACGCTTGGCAGAGGTTTGGCGACGAGACCGTTGAGCAGGTTGCAGATCTACTCGGAGATGTTTTGATTCCGATCTTGTATTCTCACGCTCCATTCGAATTCCCTCGGAACCGTTGGACTGGTCTGGACAAGACAATGGCCGACCATGGGGTTCCATGTTGCATACACAACCTTCACGCCGAGGCTTTTATCCAGTTTCGCACGGACATGGGCGAGAAGCTGGGGGGGGGGTGGCGGCGCGCCGCCACCGCGCGTGCACTTCGATGCGGTTGAGGACGTCCACATTGCAGGCGCCCTGGAGGACGACGACCCAGCTGACTTGGACGACCTTGCCCCAGGGGCGGCTGCAGGTGCTGGTGAGGACCAGCTTCCTCGTGATTCCGCCGGAGCAGCAGCGGCCGCCATGGCGAAGCAGAACATGGGGCAGAGACACAAGGCTCATGCGTGGATGGCAACTTTTCCTGCTGATAGACTTCTCGGGATCAGGTTCGCTGCTGATCCAATGGTGCACTACATGCACGCAAGGCTTCAGCATTCTGGTGACAAGTGGAAGACGATGATGTCTTTGAAGGCCATCCAGTCCAGCGACGTCAGCATTGCCCAAGCCCGTGAGTGGCCGTTGCTGCTAGCTGCTCAGGGTATCCTGGAACATACCGCTTTGCAGGAGATCTCGACGTTGCATGATCGAGCAGCTCTGCTCGATTGCCTTCCACCAGCGCAGAGGACCCTTTCCCTTTCGAATATGGTTTTCAAGCTTCTGTCCAGGCAGGCTGCTCTCCTCACGGAGCTCGCCGCGGTGCACGACACCTACCCGTTCGCATTGTTCATGTTGCTGGTGAACCCAGAGGTTGCCAAAGTTAAGTTGATGAGTATTTGCAGCAGCGGCATGGACGAGTACACGAAAGGCTTCTTGGATTATTACGGCATCGATAATGTAGATGGAGAGTTCGCTTTGGCTGAACTGACGGCGATCTCAATGTTAGCCCAGTTGGATACAGTGCAGCTCGAGAATGGCAATGCTGGTATCAAGCGCGTGTCAGACGTCTGGAGCACTCACGTTGTCTTACCGTCGATTGCGAAACTCAGCGCGCACAAGCTCATTTCGAATCTCCGTTCTAGAATGCGTCATTGGACTACGCCGCCTGGCTGGAGGAAGCCCCGATGCACCCGTCGCAGGAGTTTGAAGGTCAAGAAAAAGGCGTTGAAGGCGAAGGCCGAGGGCAAGCTTGAGCCCGGGCCACGCCAGCGACGCGGAGAGGGAGGTCTCTGGAGGCTCTTCGTCAGCATGAGGTGCCGAGGTTCTCGTCGTTTCGACGCCAGGTCGCTCGCAGCTGAGTACAGGGCACTTTCGCAAGATGAGCTTGCCAGCGTGCTTGAAGACGCTCGAGCTGCAACCCTCAGGCATCGTTATGGAGGCCACAGTTTCGGCAAGAGAGCGATGGATATCGACAGAGCTGTTGTGAGGGCTGCTAAGCAACGTCGTGGTCAAGCACTGTTGGACTCTACTTCGACCCCTGCGGTTGTCAGTG